TAAACGGAAGTCAATTTGAACATTTAATTTAAACGATTCATTATTGTTTTGTGCTTTGTGTGATAATATAGTTCTTGTTTCCATAGCCTACTACAATTTTTTTTATCTTCTTTTGAAGTTTTACGGCAAAATTTTACGGTAAATTCAGAAAAAAATAAGGATTTTAAAACGCCCACAGCCAACTATGATTACCATTTAAAAAAACATAAGTTTATTTTTTATCTCGTAAATCAAGTTGACTGTGATCACGAGTGCTAGTTTATTGGATTCAACGCAAAAAGTTGTACGAAGGGCAGTTTTAGCTTTTTTCTAAGTTAAACAGTTTACGTATTAAGTGATAATTAAAAAAGAGTTTATTTCTTGTCTTTTCAGGATATTTCAGGAACTAAGTCGGGTACTTAAATTTTGAAAGCGGTAATGAATAGGCAATCGAATTCTGCCCAATTTTGGTCATTAAACAGTTACCCATTTAACGGATTCTCTATCTTTAAAAATGTAGAAGTTACCTATACAAAGATTCAGAAAATGGCCACCCTGTATATAGTCTTGCATAGTTGTTTCTTTTGCTTTAGTTACCTCAGCGCAAGGATAAAAACATGGAAAACAGTTGGCAATTTTCCAGAACTAGAGGACCAAGAACAGAATAATCATTTAGGATGACACTTGGCAACTGTCATCCATTGACAGGTAGGTCCTTTGCATCTAGGAATAAAAATTAAATTTTTGATTTTTTTGCACGTTTACAAGTATTTAAATCGCGTTTGAGAAACTGTAAAAAGCACACAGATGTTTTATCGGTTTTTAATGGTCTAACTTTTGCGGTTTCTGCATGTATTTCACTTTTCTCTTAAAAAATTGTTAAAATGGTCCGCCCTTTTTTCGAAAAGTACAGATCTCATGATTATAGTCTTAGTTAGGAAATTATGCAACTATTGGCAACACTGCATGTCCGTAACGAACTCGAAAGCGCACGCGCGATTATGCGATTATTTCTGGATTTTCAGGTTGACACATGACATGTAAATATTATTTTATAGGAATTTAATAAATTTACTTAATTTACTAGTCAACTAGTCTTGTGCGGCTGAAGTGCATTGAAAATGCTCGAGGTAACAAAAGGTATGATTTAATGAAACTGTCCTTGTTGCCACTCAATGATACGCTTTCAGGCATAAGCAAATTGTGGGACAGGCTGTTTGATCAGAAAGCGTTTTTAAATGGAGAAATAAACTTTGTCCTCAATGAATTCGAGGTAATTTATGTCTCAAATATTCCAATTCACTCTAAATAGTTGAATTGCAGCTGAGGCGAGGGGATAGTGAGGTGGACAACTTGTTTAAATCTCTAGAAAGTATAACGGATATAAAAGACACTCAAATTAACAGGCTGATTGAAATAGCTAGTGAAAAAAATGTTGAAGCCAATCAACAGTTAAGTAAAGCTCTAAACCTTTGCAGCCAACTTCCAGAGCTAGAACAAAAATACACTGACCTGAAGGTAGACCCCATTTCAAATAAATACGTGAGCTTAATTACTCTTCGTTACAGGACACATACCTTGAAAAGGCTAGAGAAAAGAGGAAAGAAAAATACGAGGAAATAATGAATGGAATCACTTCTAACTACTCAAAAATCGACGCTGAATTTGAAAAGAAAGAAGTAGAAACCCTACAAGCTTATATAAACCTTGAAGCAAAATTGAAATAGTTAAATGAGTTGAAGCCTTCACTTCTACAATGCTGTATAAACATATTGTGGCTATATCTCAATTTATTCTATCAGTACTATTTAGCTTCGCCTTTGGACTTCTGGGTATAGAAAAAATTATTGGTCCACTCGACTTTGGATTCAGATTGCTTCTTGCCATGATCTGCACTCTCGTGGCCGCACTTGGCGAATTGTACTTTTTAGCCGAGAAACTTAATGAAGATTGGGAGTTTGAGTACTCCATAGGAAAAAAAGCCAAAACTAAATAAGTTTCTTTTGTATATCGGCATTTAATGTATATTTCGACAGCCTTGTAAATAATTTCAAATAAAATCTTCAGCTTAAAATGTTTTATTTTGGGTACAACAGGTTGTTACATTTTACAATAAAGGAAATATTGCAAAATAGCAAATGATTTACTGAGCTGTAGTTCTTAACTAAATATATTTGTACAAATATTACAAGAATTGAAATTGTTGAGTGTACCAAGTCTGCGTTCCAATAGACCAGCACTCATCCAAACTATGTAAAGATTTAGAAACAATACAAGTTCTAGTCTTATTTTAACACGCCCTAAAACGCCTGTCTGTTCGGAAAATCTAGACTTTGTCAACGGGGCTAGTTTAAAACGCAATACAGACGCCCCATTTTTTTCAATTAAATATTGAAACGTGCATCAAAAATGTAGTTTTGTGGGCGTTAAAAACGAAATTAAGCAGTCGATCGTTTCAGTTGAGATCAACGAGAAAGCAATATTTATAATGCTCTTTTAAATCAAGAAGGTTAATATGGAATTTTCAGTTACATACAATTTCTAATACATATGAACGTATGGTAGTTATTAATACACTGATTTAACCAGATACTAATAGTTTCAGATAAAAATACCAATAAGTGTAAAGTCTAAATTAAAAAAAAAACAGCTAGTGGGTAAATGTTTGCTAACACTTTTTTTGCGCAGGATTGAACACAATTACAATCAAAGCATCCGCTAGCTATCAACCTAAAATATTAGAGGAGAATAATAGTTGATTTGACTATATAAAGAATCTTGTTTAAAATAAATTTAAGAATATTGCCCTTAAACATCCTCTCACATTTTAAGTCATTTAAATATTTTATCAGGGAATAAAAACTTCACACATTTTGGCATTTTAAAAATATACTGAATAACAAGCTAACTAATGTATAAACTCTTGTTAAATTCAATAGAAATTTCCTATGTACAAAAGAATCGAAGCGTGAAGCTATAAAAGTCTAATAATGAATATTGAATTTCTGCCTTGTTTACTAATAAGTTTCATTCTATTTACATACTTGATGCACAATTTTACTATCCTTTCCAATGATGTGTAATTCATAAAAAAAACGGTTATGTAGATACTACTAATAGTTTGTTCGTCCGTGGCTTCCGCAGTAAGTAAGTAAGTAGTTAAAAATTTCGCATTTTTAAGTAAGAATAAACTATTTTCGTATGGCTAATTTTAAAAAGACAAAACTGCACACACCATTGGCAAGGTGATTTAAATAATTTGAAAACAATAAAATCTCGACCTCACTCACAAAATTCAACATAAGCCATATCACGACGCCCCATAAAACATCTTTGAAGTGAAATAAAATGATTGAATAACAATTAAAACGCTTACTAGAACACACGCTAGAAACTAAAATAAAAATTAATATCCTATATAACAAACATAGTATTTGGTAATAAATAATGACGGAAAACCTGATAAAGAAATTAATGAATTTATGAATTAGTACAGAAACGAGTAATTCAAACTTCTGTAGATGCGCTCACTTTTCGCGTTTTAAATCCGCCAAAATACAAACGGTAGGGTGAAGCCTGAAACGCATTTTGATTTGAATTCAACTTCAAAGTTTTTCAGTTTCTACAGAATAACTAGGAATCCATAGATTGTGACTGTACTAATTGATAACAATTAGTATTGCGTGAACAGTAGCGAAGATACATTTAGAAAGTTAAAAATAGTTTTAATTCCCTAGATCTATCTACAATTGATTAAATTTCAAGCTAGTTTGCTTAAAACTGCTCGTTTTATCAAAATGGAAGCTGAGTATTTTAAATTAGAGTATTTGTACGGAAGAGAAATGACCTGTAAAGTTGCTGCTACTGAGTAATTGACCTGATAACCAGATAAATGTAAATGCTCTAAAACCCGAGAAGCAAATTTAAATTCAAATCCTATAATACTTTGTAGCCAATAAAAAGTGCGGCACAAAACATTATTCACTAGGGTTTTTCAATTAACACTTAACAATAATTTGTTGTTCAATTTAATTTGGATTTTAAAAATATCCTGCTGCAATACCCCATTGCTTGCACAATTGAAAAACCTTGAAATTAAAACGAAAATTGAAATGAGTAGTTCAAATCTCAACAATTAATTTTTGACTATAATTTTTTTCTATAGTTGTCCGATAGCACTATGAGGTGGGTGCAAATTAATAATCATGCTGCAAATGAAAGAAAACGTGTGACATGTTGATATTTTAGCGGCTTGAAAACAATTCACAGATATGGTAAGATTTAAATTATTTTCTTTATATTTAATTAAGGCTAACCTATAATAATTAGCTATTTAAATAAGTTTATAACAATGGTCATCTCACAAAAATAAGTTCAAGTCAACGTTGCCGCACTGCTATGACCACATGGCAACAACGTGAGGTGTTGGTCGGTCTCACTATATTGTAGTCATTTTGAGCGGGGATTTTTTTTCTTCTTTCTCTTAAAGAAGCAGCAACATCTGCAACAAGAATCAAATGTGAAATAATCGCAACACAAAAACCGGGCAAAAGATAATTAGAAGTCAAGGACAAATGACTACATACTTAACATACTTGGTTTCATCCAGGATATCAACCTCTTGAGGTTGGGTAATAGGTGTATTACTGTGTCCAGCTGTTGGATCGTCTGCATTTAATTCTCCATTGGTCGAGCTTACGACCTGCACCGATCCATGTCGATCTGCCGGAGTTAGGTTTCCTAGAGTACTTTGCTTTGAAGCTTCAGGCCATGCGGTGTTTTTGTTAGTCTAGAAAAAAACCGTCGTATCAAAAAACCCAACTGCGTCGACCCGGACTAAGAAATAATGTATGAAATTATGAAATCATAAACATACAATCTTCTTGAATTGTTGGCACACTTGCAACCCTGTATCCTGAGACCAGTGGTTTTTATTACCCATCACCAGCAAAGTAACGTTCGGGATCCCGGGTACTTTAACATACTTCTAAATTAAAAAAATTAGATGCATGTAGTGATCAGATTAGTGGCACTCTTGCTTTAATACGAAAATTCCCTGAACCTGTCGAAGTACAAAGTACTGGCTGGCCAGGATATAATTTACATAAACTCATGGCTGAACTTCACAACCACACAAATGTGCCTGCATTACATTTCATTGCATCGAATGTATTCATTTCAATAATTTGGAATGATACAACAAACATCTTTTAATGATACAGTACAAGTAATGCAATATTTACCTTAGGAGCGGGGTGTCTTTCTCTGTTAGGGGAGATAACCACGTCGTGAGCAGTAGTTTGAAGTGAACCTACTGGCGTACTCTGGAAAACATATCACAACATATATGGAAATTCCTTCAACTAATGGAAAACTAGCTAAATTGTTTTCCAAGCTTTAATCACTCAACGAATTCATGGGTTCGAACACAAATTTATCAATAAACAAATTCAAGTTTAGTCAATCGCAACGGTTGTAAACGGAATTCAAAATTCAAAACTTTCTAACAAAGTTACTACAGTTATAGTTAAGGAAGTTAGCGAACAGCGACAGGGTAGAATAATAAAAAACATTCTACATGTTTAAGTTAAATCAAACTTTTTTTAAAATTCTCGAACATAAAAATGAGTATTTCTAAATTGGCATATTTTGCAAAGAAAAGTTAGTACACTGCGTTAAAGGTGAGATACAGTAATCATTTATTTTGAACGCCATTGGTGAAAACCACGGATGGCTCCGTTCTTTTAATAACGAAACAAAACACAAAACATTATTATTTTTTATAAAGCTCGTGGTGGACCATAGTTATGATGCATTAATGCAATTTGTTAGACATGTAACATTTTCCACTGAGATAAAACGTGTTGAACTTATAGTGACCGATTTTGGAGATAACAGACGTACTCAAAAAGCGATAATATTTGATTCAACGTAACCGACCCTTTTCCGCTCGAACTATTAAATCATCTGTAGAAAAAATTTAAAAAATTTAGAGTACCAAAATAATTATAGGAACAACGTTCTGCTTTAAACGGACAAAAACCCTCATGCAAAATCCACTCTTATAAAGCTCAATTAACAGATGAATTATTGGAAGAGTAGACTAGAAATTAACTCTCAAAACTGCACATTATTGAAAATCCTCGCTTGACTCAAAAATCTCAGACAACCTTTCCAACAAAAGCTATGACGATTAATTGAAATTTATGTGAATTGATCAAATAACATTGAACACACAGGCACAATAGGCCAGAAATTAATTTATCGACATTAAAAATGTTTCAAAACAAATAATTACATTTTTGTTAAATTAATGTTAAATTTAAACTATCAATCTGTTGTTTTATTACTGTAATAAAAAACGCGATATATTGTTACTAAAAAGTACCTATAAATACTTTATCTTCAACTCTACCAATCGCTTATTATTCGAATATTTAGGGCATTTTATGTAAAAAAATCAATGATTCGTTGTAGCTCACTAATGAGACGCCTTGTATAATAAATTTAATTTACTGAATAGGCACATTTATAAACACTAATTGCCCCGCACGTACGAGCGTTATTCAAAAAGTTGCCCAAAAATCAAACGATTGTATTCCATTGATCGAGAACGCACTAAATATAAAGTTAACAACTCTTTATCAAGCAGTAACAAATTTCAAATAGAGCAAGCAAAAAAATCCAGACAATGTGTTACTTTGAGATATCGCAAGATACTTGACTAGCTATCAGTTCACCCTTGGATTTTGCTATTTTTCCAGCGAGTAAAACATAAACAAGATTTTAAAAAAAATAAGGCAAAAAAATAAATCCTTAAAAAATTCAATAATTAAATAACCTTTGTAGACAATAGCCAATTAATCGTATCAATGGCCAAATAAAAAAACGATCCTGATTTTAAATCAAGCTTAAATACTTAGAAATATCTCATGCCCTTATGTAAACATGTGTGAATAAGTGTTTCGGCGGGCCGATGCCCCGATTCGGCGTTACTGTACCAAAATATTGGATTTTTTATGGATCATTTATTCCAGTTAAAAATTCCACGCTGTATAAAGAGTAGACAATAGAAGTATAAAATTGAATAGTGTCAACGAATAGATTATTTAATATCACGCAACAATTCAGCTAATCCAGGGGGTACTGATAAGATTCAACAAAAGTGTATTCTTTTATATAGACGGAACCTTGGATTAAATTGAGAGCGTTTTTATCGATTCAATGCATACTTTTCTACTGTTAAAATTGCTTGGCGACAACCAACGGAATTTCATTGTTTAAAAGCCGATAAATGTCTGTTAAATGAAACAGAAGTTGGGAAACACATTTTCATAATGTTCAATTAATATAACATTGAGCAGCGAACTACGTAAATTACGCAATACGACCTTCAAAACCCTTGAAACCGTAGAGACTCTAGCTATATGACTCAAATGAACAAGCGCTAAAAATACCTTGTCAGATTTAGTTTTTAATTTATTTGACGGCGGAGCTCTTCGGATTTGCTGAAGAACGTACAGATTCGACGGCTGTTACATAAATATAAAGTTCATATTATCCAGGTGCTACAGAATAGGGAAATAAGGTGCAAAATGGAAATCAGTGTTCTTCAACAACTGAACATCAATGTTTTAAGAAAATTGATGGTCTTAGTCCAGCTTGTTTCATAATGTTTAATATATTGCAATAAAAAAAATTGAAAAACTTACCAGTGTTTTGCCAGTCCAGTCGAATTCTCCGTCATCAGCGTATCCTTTTTTCTTAAACAAGCTAGTAAACAAATTTCGTAAATACTCATAGTCAGGCATTTCAAAAAAATCTAATCGTCTAACATATCTTAGGTACGTTGCCATTTCTTCGGGATGATTTTCACATAAAGTGTCTATTGTAGTGGCTCGTTTAGTATCACCGATTTTTTGATAACGCTCTTTCAGTGTGTCCGCTTTTAGGCCTTGCCAGGGCAAGGAACCTCTCAAAAAGTACATAAACATATGACCTAAAGCCTCCAGATCGTCTCTCCTGGACTGTTCTTTGCCTAAATGGGTATTGATAGACATATATCGAGCAGTTCCCGTTAATGATTTATGTTCTCTATACGGTATATGTTTATTTGTTTCTGATTCAATGTATTCCTTAGCTAAACCGAAATCTAAAAACAATGCATTTGCTTAATTTTGTTCTTCATACTGTCTACCTGTTCATACCTATGATGTGAATGATTTTCTCTCTCTTTGTACTCTGCCTTCCGATAAGAAAGTTCTCAGGTTTTACATCCCTATAGATTAAGTGTCTAGTGTGAACGTACTCTATTCGGTGCAGCTGTAAATTTAATTGAAATTGTTTCTTCGTTTTACTGCTAAACTAAATTGGTTTAAAATTTAATATTCAATTCAATTGCTTAAGCAACAGTTTTACAACATAAATCTACTGCAGCGTTTATCTTAAAAAATATATTAAATGCAGTGAACTTCACTCTGTTATGTCGCTTTAAGCTCAGATAAAATTTATCTACTGTAAAGTAGGACTGACGTAAAAGGACTTTTAAATTTACTCAATCAGTCGTTTAACACTCACCAGTTGAATTGCGATCATAAGAACAGTCTTTAGAGAAAATTTACGATCACATAAATCAAAGAGATCTTCGAGGCTGGGACCCAAAAGTTCCATAACTAAAGCGTTGTACTTGCCACATGGACCGAAGTAATAAACTTCTGGAATGCCCTCTGGAAAAATTCACTGAGTCTCATTCTGAGAGTTTTTCCACTCTAGATATATACGTTGAATTCAAAATTCAATGATTGAAAATAATTAGATATAAATGTTGTCTTAATGCTACTAAAACCAATGGTTTACCATGACTTCCAAGCAGCTTGTAAAACCTATATTCCAAATGCAGCTGCGGAGCCTTGGACTTCATGGGTTCCATTTTAATAGCAACATGCTCATTATTGTACAGGTTCTTGCCAAGTCTGAGTTCCCCAAAATTACCACAGCCAATTTTTTTGCCCACTCGAAAGTTAGGTCCAACCATTAAGACGCCACTTGAGTTGACACTGTGTCTCGCATTGTGCGAATCACCTGCACCTGAGAATCAATTACGTATTTACATGAACAGCAAGATCCATCCGGGCCAGAAAACGCAAAACTGCATGAGAGAGTTAATTATCTTTACTTACCTCGGTATTTTGAGTTCTTTTTCTGGTCCATTTTATCCATCTTTGCTTAGCCGATTATCCCTGGAACAAATTGGGAAAAACTTTAGCATTGGCTGAAAATGTATAAATCGGGTTGGCATTTGTAATGGCATTGATTAATATGAGGAAAATGTATAACTAACTACATTTTGTAAATAAATTGGCTGCTGTTTCAATTCCGAGTCCATTATTTTGCCTTCATGTAGTGTATGCAAGGATTCGGCTTAAGACGAAATTTCAAATTTAGGCATTGTACTTCATAAACTAATTTAACAAGAAATATAAAAAAGCTTCAGAGCAATGCTAACGGAAAATCAGTTTTGGCTTCCGTTTCAGAAAGTTTTCGGATTTAGACGTAATTTCACATTTAGACATTGTTTTATAAACTAATTTATACAGAGATATACAAACGAAGCCTCAGCTCAATGATAACGAAGTATTTTGCGAAAGTGAAATTTTTACAAGCCATCCGCAAGATGCTATAAAAAAGTTTAGGACCGAAAAGTTTCGGGAGTTCAGGTTTGAGAAAAAATGTATTGGCCGAGGTCAAGCCATGTCACCTTCAACACACCTAAAAACATGTACTTTTGTAAAGCAATTACGGCTTGAAATCAGTCAATACATTTTCTCCAAAGTAGCGAAGTAATCATACGCAACTGATTAACCTGTTCCTCCTTTATTGTTAAATTACACCGCCTTAATTAATTCGAAACGTTCTAATTTACTCTATCAACTAATCATATTTGTTTCATTTTAAATATTGATGCTCCATGTTTCATCTGTGATAGACATCATATTTTTGGTAAAATTGTATTATCTGGGTAGTATTTGCGGTAACATTATCTCTATTAATGTCAACAAAATAATTATAGATTGATTTATGAAAACGTTTAAGTGGAGAGAAACGAGGATCTAAGTGAATTACACTTTACACTTACGCAAAAAGAGGAATTGAAATTGATCCGTCATTGTTTATGATAAGTAAAGCAATATAAGCGGAGCACGAAATGCAAATATTTAGTTCCATGACTATGAAGAAAATACGTAAAACTATTTCATCTGTAATTCTATGTATAAAACATTTATCGTAGAACGGAGACATAAACCAGGTAAGGTACTTTGCAATAAAGTGTTTTTTTGATTAAAAAAAACGCCTTTGATAATGGAAATACATTCTCGCAATCACATAAAAACTAGATGAAATATTTAGAAAAATAACATAGGATGAGCTGCCACAACAGCAAGGGAATTGTCCTACGCTTTGATCATATTGATGACATTGAATAGCGTAAAATGTTGTTATTTACTGATGACACAGTAATTCATGTAGTGGGTGTAAAGGTGTATGAAATAACAGAAATGTTGAATGAAATGAAAAAATGTGCATTTGATTGAAGTGAATTGAATCTTTTTGTTACTCTACTTAAAGCATGTTATTGGACAGATATATCGAAAATGGGGTATTAGAGAAAATATAAGACACCAAGCCGAAAAAATATGACTCGTTTAATAACCCAATCTGCTGAATCAATCAATTGAAATATGTACTTCTACGTAACAGAACAGAGCGGCTAAAATATTCAATTTAATGCGAACATTTTTTTTGTAATTTGGCTTATTCGCTCTTCTACATAACAATTTAAAAATCAAGCGCGTCCATGGATGGCGGGGCTGCGATTTCTTAGTGACTTTTTTCTACAGACAAAATATATTGTAATTTGCATCGGGTGTACCTCATTTATTTCGAACGAGTCCATTTCAGCAAGTGAAAAACCAAACTTTTGTATTTAATTTAATTTTTCGTGCTTGTAGACAAATAAAATATTTCACAGGCAAGTAATTATTTGTTTCCTTTGCACTGTTGGCGATGATAAATTGAAATAACACATTTCTGGTTTGATATTGCTTTTGCAAAAAAACCAGAATTTTAAATATTATTTTTAGTTTGCAAATGTTACATATTGATAGCCTAACGCTGATAGGTCGTAACCACAATTTTTTGAAATTTTTGTGCCAGGCAAAAAATCGTTTATTACTGTATGCTTGCTACTGCTGTTAACAAATACTAAAAATACCGATATAAACAACAAACATTAAAAAAATCATACATTACACGACCAAGATTTATTAGCAGTTTTTTGTGTCTCCTGTTTAACCAAATTTATTAAATTGGGTTACGATCTGTCAGCTTTTGGGTATGGAATAGTACACAGGAAGTATAATAACTTGGATTTTGTAACTGTATTACGTTATTTTTTAAGCTTGGCAATTTTTCTCAGAAACCCTGGACAATACGATTTTTAAGTTAAAATAAACATTGAGATAATTGTATTTAAAATATAGAAAAAAATCCTTAACAAGAAACAGCATAAATTAAGTAAATTGTCTATATTAATTGTCTTTTTAATCAGTTCTTTTCGAAGTCTGTGGAATGTCGACCCATGGTTATATATATTAGATATATAAATATGTCGAAAAAGCCCGCTGGTAACCAATACAGATAAATTAAAATTAGTAAAGAAAGCTTATGGTTCACTAAAAGCATTTTTTAATCTTAACATGAGGTTCCAGCGACGCCAATGTGAGGGAGACCGAAGTCACAAACCTCAAGAAGTGTATGGAAGATGTTTGATATACAGAAGCAAGCCCTGAAACTAGTGATGTCGCGAACAAAAACGCCTCAGAAAATTGGGACATTTCTGATGAAGAATCATGTTTTTTTTTATCAAGATGCTGCTTAAGATAAGAATCCTAGAAGTTGGCCTTTTATATTATATCTCACTTTAGCTATCCTTTAAATAGAGATAAGTTTTTCAATAACTTGCTACAAAAAAATTAGTAACGGATAAATAATTCCAAAATGTTGGCAGGTATATTCTAAATTAAAACATTGCGTATTTTATTTTCCTTGCACATTCAAAACTTTTTCTAGTGCTTTTGTTGAGGAATGGAGAGTTAGAAGTGGTTTGGGAAAAAAATCGAAACTAGAATAGTAAAAAAATATTTAGTATCAACAATGGGGCTTTCCGACTATCCATTATAAGTAGTGAATAAAACATTTCCGTAGAAATAAGCTTACCATAGAATGTGCAGTAAGAAAAGCAAGAAATGAAAAATTTATTGAACTAGTCTTCTTTCTGATTATATCGATACATTAACGATTGTTTTGTTATTTTTTAAATTTTAAAAATAAACCGAAGTTATAATATTTTCTGCAGTTTGTTGTTTAATTTAAGGAAAACATGTTTCAGATTTTTATTAATCCGTACGATATGAAGGGCGGCACTTATTCTAGGAACGAGCCTGTAAACGTCTGGTTCTCAAACAAAATAAATCTGGAAACCTTGCAAGTGGCATATTAGAAATATCCCTAGTAACAGTTTTACAAGTTTCGAAGTGGCACAATTAAATAATTTACTATTATTGGATGAACTGAACACAACTTTAGGTCTGATAACTAGATGGTGATTTTAGGTTTTAAGTGTAAATAACGGGGACCAATGTAGTTATTGGTATAAAATTTCCCTGTACGGGGTTATTCATTATAAATGGACCGCCCCTTTAACTTTGTTATTTTCAAACGATGATTTTATACCGGATTGTAGGAAATCTTTTGATTTTTCTTACGAATTATAAAAAAATATATTTTACAGGGTCTTCCAGAAAAAACATTCCAGAGCAAATTTATAGTTTTCTAAATCTAAACCCTCTATATTATTACAAATTCGGATTCTACGTCACATTCTGAGCGGATTTCATATAAGCCCAATGCCTGCCTTCATCTGTTTCCGAGTTAGAAGCACTTAAAAATCGACGCTACATTCAGTGTTCACAAAAGTTACGGAGAAAAAATTCAATTAAAAACTGAATAAAGAACTCCCAAAATTGACTTCATTCTTAAAATCTGAATAGACAAATTTAATTTCTAGTAATTATTGAATACATATTCTATAGAATCTTTTTTGTTTCTCTATTTCGATTTCTGTGGTAAGTATTTCCTTAATCCTATTCACCATCGATTGCTTTTCACGATTTAAGATATGTGTTAAAACTATAGAAAGGAAGAAACTTATCTACAATAGTCAAAGCTGAGCTGACCATCTGCAATATTAATCATAGAAATAGAAGTTCTGAGCCGAATAACTCAAGGAATGATTTCAGCTGCATTAGAGCAACAAAAACACATCTATAGAATATATATTCAAGAAAATCGGCGCGGTGTTGAACAAACATTAGATAAATGATATGAAATCTGCTCAGAATTTGTCGTTTAATCTGAATCTATAATAAAATACCGGGTGTTCCATTACAAATATATAATATATAAGTTTGATCTGGTACGGAACCCTGTACCTATTATGTTTTGATTACTAAAACAATCAAAATATTTTCTACAATTTGGAATAAAAAGCATCGCTCTATTCCTCAAAATAACTAAGTTAAAACGGCGGTGCGTGATAATCCTGTACAGCATTGAATGAATCCCCCCAAAAATGGATTGCAATTTCAAAAACAGTTAAAAAAAAACAAAAAAACGAGTTTATAAAAATGAGTGTTATTGTTATGATGTCGAATAGCTGGCTTGGTACATAAGGTGGTGAATAGAAGCATATTTAAACATTCTAATTAGGATTTTATTTACTGACAAATCTCTGGTTTACCAACAATGGGATAATTCAACCAATATGAGCTTGCTTACTTAATCAAGATGTCAAGTAGACGGGAGCCAATCTGAGCAACTAATTTAAGTTTTTTGTGCTTTTTTTATGTGATTTTAATCACACAATTATTGCGAAGGCTGCTAAGTAAATACACTAATTGCAGAGTTTAAACACAACACTAGCTTTAAAAACGCTTTTTTCCACTCATACGATTATTCACTGCTTTCCACAATGCACGAATATAAATACATTTTAATGAATATTGGCTTTCACTCCACTGCAGTACAAATTATGATCCATTTTATTGTAGTGACTAATGGTACTGTTGGTACTGTCAAGAATTGAAGGTTAGAATTACCGAACAGGCTGCGACTTGTCTAATGAAGGATAACAGACTTTACTCAGGGTTTTGAACTGGTCATTTTTCTTTATTTACCAAATATAAAGCATGACTGCTGAGCAAAAGGGAAAACAATGGAGACTTTTTAGGTTAGCGGACAATGTTGACAACATTATGAAGCGATAATTTCCCTAAAAACAGCAAAATGGGCAACAAAACAACGCAAAATACACCCTGATTTTTTACTTTGTTTGAAGCAAACTCTTTTAATGAACAATGAATGGATTCCAAGGTTAAACGTTGGTGTTCTTACGTTTAGTGATTAACTTTGATTTACTTACAAATTGGAGTTTTGATACATTGTTTTACATACAAGATAGGGGGTTTGATATTCAAAAATCAATAATTAATTTGAATATAGCCACTTAATAAAATATCAAAAATTGAAGATCATAACTGGAAAATGTGTTCTAATCTTAATTTGATAGCACTCAACTGCTACAAATTCACAGATAAATATATTTTTAGACTAGGTTGAAGGAAATATAATTATGCCAGGAAACTAATCAAGCAAACTGTAGGCCTATCGGGGGATTGAGAATAGAGCGAACTGAGAGAGTTCAGGTGTTATGAGATCAGCTGAATCAAAGCAACACCCATAGAGATTGCCTTTGAAGCAACTTGTAGTAATAAATAGGATTTTAAAAACTCACCCTTCGTATGAAGCAACACTACAAAACTGGAGCAATCCGAGGAAAACAAAGTTGGGAAGTCTTTCGAACTTGAGTCACTCATAAAAAGTAAATTGTTGGATAGGCATATCACATTTTGTACTATCACAGTTATTTCACAAGTTTCTGAAGTAATTTTTCAAATTGGTTTCTTCGGCACAGTTATGTGGAATTTAATCACAACAAAAGAGTTCCCTAGTTGTTAGCACTTGCCTTAGGTGGATGGTTTATCTTCAAGTGTCATTTCAATTCCATATTCCGAGGAGATTAGATTGCGAAAACGGCTGAACGCCATTACAGATTCAGACCGGGCAATGTAACTTTCAGGGTTAACATTCATCAAATTTGTTTGTGAAAAATGATAAAACACACGGACCGAAACTGAAAAGGAGGACCAACGCACAAATCGGCTACAAAACGAACGTTCTACGCTAAAAATACACCATATTCATGCACTCTTCTTCGCAAATTGTGTGCCGTGTAATTGACTTTTAGGTCAAAATAATTACGGTCATGCGTACCAACCCGTTAACTCCCGTTGTCATTTCTTCACAAAAATCAACACTATTTAGGACTCCGCCACTAGTTCTGTTCGTTTTATTAGCGAAATCACTCCTTATGGGGCACCAGGGTAGAAAAGCACAGCCCAGCGGCGTTTTACGCTTATTGTACTTGAATATTATATCGGAAATAAAGGTGTGGTGAATCATATGTTTCGTTGTCATAACAACGGCAGCTAATCACATTTAAAAGTTTCCCGCCACTGTAAAAGTATACTTCCCGAAAATGGACAAAAAACATCATCCATGCTTTTATTCGATCAAATCCCTCAGTCTAATTAATGTAGCTGAAATGAACTAAAGTAATATATTCATTCACATAAAGGAACGCAAATGCTGCTCGAGTTTTTCAAGGTAAGATGTTGGCTTTTAAGCGAAATAATAATGCTCCCGACTCCAAAATATTAAATCGTCTTTTTCAAGTAACCGCTATAGTTTATCCAGCTTAATTTGTAACTAATAGGAACCCGTATTTTTAAGCAACAAATACCCCACCTTTATAGGCAATCCGCCTGGTGGACGTATTCCTGTCTTTTTCTGGTCAAAACTTTTGACAATTTTCTAAAAGAAAAACGCTATATACTTTCTTCCAGAAATCAAATATTTAATTCAGACCGTAGCAATGTTCCTTGCAAAAATGCAATAAAAATATTGTTCAATAAAATCAACTTTCCAAATTAAGAAAAACGTGACTTGTATAAAAAGTTTTTTAGCACCCGAAAATTTAGATACCTAAAACGATAATTTTTCGTGGCTTAATCGGACCAATAATTTTTAGAGATAAATTGTTTCAAATATTCTAAGCATTTCTAGAATATCTCTGTGTTTGCTAATAAGGGAAAAAAGTAGTAAATACGTAAAAATAAGAAATCATGCAACACTCAGAGATTATTTGCTCATTGTGGCAAGACCGGTCCAATCTATGACTCATCACGTCAACAAATGTCCACTGTCTTCTGTCACTGTAAATGGCAAATGTTTTCTTAGTAAATTGGTAAAAAGAGCTTTATGTCACGTGATTTCACGTATATTTTGCGGTCTCCCCACACACGGTGTAGCCCACACCGCTTCAACCGTTTTCCGTTCGCTAAATCGTGGGCCTTTGGAAATTCTGATTCATCATCTGTCATTTCCCTTATGTTTGGTAAATCCATCATCAGTTGGCTTGTTGGGCTACTCTTTGCGTTGTTCTAGTCTATAAATATTCGTCATTATGGCTTCGAAGCAGCCCCGTGTTTTGTCAAAGAATCCACATTTTTCAGTAAATATATGCATGTGTCTCAAGGGCTAAGTAAATGAGTAACAAGCTAGCGTATAACAGTTCGGGTAGTGATTACAATAGATGGAGGACAACATTGAAAACGAGGCTAAATCGCGGTCTCGTTCGAATTCTGCAAGAATATTAGTCTTTGAAGAACCGAGGGCCTATTTGGAACAGAAGCAAAGATGCAGCGTCGGGCCTGCCCAGGAATCTGTTGCTGTTCTAATGAGAAACCAACCAGGTAATGTGTGGAAATTGATCACATTTCAATTCAACTTCAAAAACTTTCTAATGCGAGCTACCCAAATAACAATCCATTTGAAGAATCGGAACAAGAAATGAACAAAGCGTTATATCACCCACATTCATTGTGAATCAGACTTACTGAATAATATAAACCAGAAAAAGTGCAGCAAACAAATAATACCAAAATATTTATTAAACTTGACGACTCATCTATCGTGTTTAAATTTGGACGAAACATTTTTTATTTTAAATTCCGTCAGACAGGGTGACCGGAAATCGCTCAGATATTTTTGGCGGTGATTTAGTAGATTTAAATAATTGGAAAAGTTTTTATCAACACAAACAAAAAGTTGCGTCGACTACGCGTTGGAACTTCTGAATTTACAACATTTTTTGAACGGTTTGCTGTAGAATTTTCAAATGATATATTCATTAATTAGGGCAATGGGAAACAGGGACAGGCATCCTATTACCTGTAAAGACGCATTAAATTCACCATGACTGGATTTTCTACCTACGAAAAACGATCTCCATAGTTCTTTCTTTAATGAGCCCTTGAAGAAGCAGTCATTTGGATATGTTTATAAGAACTTCTATACTTTTAGTCTCGAGAATCACCTAGGTATCTGGTTATTTTCGGACATCCGGTATGTTGTATGAGTGCGAAATATATGCATTGAAGATAATTTCATTAGGGGACCTATTATTGTCACCAATTGTAACTTAATAATCAATTGCGCAATCTTATTTAACATAATGGCATTAATTATTATGGGCAGGTTTAGAAACCGAGTAACTTTTTCGGAAATTTTGCAGACAACCAATACACACCCCTCCCTCAGGGTTGAAAATACGTATTAATTAACTTCACAAAAGCAAATTTGCTTAAAATCGGTTGCTCCCAATCTCACTGAAAATAGAGATTTTTTTCCATGATCACAAGTGTTTTAAACGCACAAATGATCTATAGATGTTCCTATAGACATCAAATGTTTTTGGTGCTTTGTTCGTTGAAGACTTCTTAATGACATGCAATTTTATCGAAAAATTCACCGACGATTTTTAAACCGAAACCGTCAAAAAAAATCGGAAATCGCCAGAAAATGTCGACAAATGCCTTACAACGATTCTCATACTTTCACTGTTTTATTTGAAGCAATTCAGCTCGCGCTCTTGAATTGCAATAGTTCAGTGTCAGTCTTGATTCTTTTAAGGCTGTCTATCTTTGTTTGTTTAAACCTAGTTAGCCTTAGAAAATATTTATAGTTAATTTTCGAGAATAAAAAGTTTATAAATCGCTTCTAATAATAAAATTTTCAATTTATTACGTCCCTCTTACAAACAGATCGCGCCCGCACAGTTTGAGAATCACTGCCTTACATTATTGTTCACTTATTTTTGCATTTTTTCCAGATCTGCAAAATGCCTCTTCAAACCTCTTGAAATTTCGTAATTCAGTTCTTGGAAAATCCGCCCCTTCCTTGTCCAGTATGGTAAGTAGTTGTTATTGTCTTCTTGCAATGTGCATGTATTTTATAAACAATGTATTGATTTTATCGTTAAACTGCTATAATAAACATTTATGCAATGTATATAAAATATAGTAGGTTTTACATGCTGTGACTGACTCATTGATACAGTTCGATAACAGCAATAAATAAGAAATAGTATCTCAAAACATCGATATCAATAAACATAACTAAAATTAAACTGTTGTTTATTAGGATTATGCCCCGTGGCTATCTATCATTTTGTTTTGAGGATTTCTATAAATTTCAAAGATGCGTTGATCAATTTAATTTCCTTGATTGCTATGTAGCATGTTCTCGGATGTAATACTTTGTTTTGCATTAATTATGAATTTTTATCTTAGAATAGGACAGAGCATAATAACTTGTACCATTTCAGAAGGATATAAATATTAATCGGCGCAATAGCCGTCCAGCTATTAACCGGTTAAGTCTCGTTGCTAACACTTCCCCAATTTTACCACGATCTCATTCCCCAATATGTGGAAGCCCAATTGATAGCCCAAGAACTCATCAAAGTTTCGCAAACTTCTCATTTGCCCCAATTAAAAGGTGATAATTGAAAGCATCATATATTCTACCAATTGATACTTTACGGCAGTTCTTTCAGAATTGTGGCGGGTTACCGTGGGGATGGCAGGCGTTGGTCTGTCGCATCTTTACCGTCTTCAGGTTACGGAACTACTCCCGGAAGTTCCAATATGTCGGTAAGGAAACTTAATATTTGAAATTCGACAGGCAATATTTGAGCTCTCGCTTTCAGTCCAAGTGTTCTAGTCAGGAGCGTCTTCATCAGTTACCACATATCCCAACTTCAGAGGACATCAAAATGTTGACCCATCATTTTTCTAGTAATGAAAGCAATCCATCGTTGCCTGGTAGTAGTTATGACGACAGTTGTGTTCCGCATAGATCTCCTTTACATCGACCAAGGTCCAGAAGTCTGAGGTATGACGCAAAATTTTTACCGTTTTTTCGATCTTTCTTTCATTACATATACAGATCGATTAGGTTGCAACATTTAAACTGCATATTCTGCTACCACAACTAAGACAAACACATATATACGTTCGCATATGCTTTGTTTATGAGCCGAGTAAACGAGATAGTTTAGGAGCCTTTACACACTAAAAAGATCAGGTCGATAAACTTGACCAACACTCTAAAAAACTAACACCCGGACGATTGTCGCGTAATTAAGGGTGTAGACTTTAATAAGTTAGTTAAAATTTCAAATAGGTGATAAAACCCCATAATCGCTAAGAGTTGCAGGGAAAAACTGAAAAAACCAGTCCTTTGACACCCTGTATCTATGCAACATAATTTCGAATCACCCATGTTGAACACAGTTAAAGGAGCGATTAGAGCGCTGAAGAAAAATTGCAACAAAACGTTTTAAAACGTTTCCAAAAATCACCCGCTTTTATCAATAAAATCCAAAGCAGCAAATCACACAGAATTTCTCTGCTTGTGGTTTATTCATAATATACTACAGACCCGTGGAACAGTTGCGATAAGGTTACATTTTCAATTGATGCTATAGAAAACTGTGCCTTGAAATATTCTTTAAGGAATTAGAAGTGCAGTTAACGGTCGGTGTTTTTTTTATTAATTAATCAATAGCATTGGTTTTATTATCCGTCAATAATTAGATTCGAATCATTGTTTATTGTAGTAGTCCGAGCAGATCGCCAGTTATTGACAACGAAATATGTATGATGAATGTTCTCTATAAAGAAAGATTTCCGAAAGCCACTCAACAAATGGAGGAGAGGTTGAATAACTACAATGAAGAAAATAAAACATTCGATTTTGGCGAAGATTGCGACTATTTGCCAATTGTGCGATTTGTCCATCATCAGGTTTTAGAGATGGCCAGGGATTGCCTTCATAAGTCCCAAAATAAATTAATTACTAGTCGTTATTTTTATGAGATGTCTGAAAATTTAGAACGATTACTCACTGAGGTAAGTGCTAGCGCAGTACCTTTATTATACGACTGATCACAGGGTAGAAAGATTGTGGATTTTAGATTATCGGTTCCTTTAGCTTTCCTGAGGCAGCTTTATAGTTATAAATAAGTTTTAATTTTAGACGACATTCTTTCGAGAGTTCAGGTCAAGCTTGCTCGCAAAAACAACTTTCAAATTTAAGCGATGATTCACATAAGTTTATATAACCGAAGAATTAACTCTAAATACTAGCTGATAATGACGTCGACTGCTTTTTTACAGACAAAAGAAAAATCGGAAGAAGCTGCAGCAATGGTTACGGGGTTTATTAAAAAGCTACTTTTAATAATATCACGTCCGGCGCGTCTCTTGGAATGCCTTGAATTTGACCCTGAAGAGTTTTATCATTTTTTGGAAGCTGCTGAGGGTCAAGTGAAGGGACTACAGGGCCTGAAGGCCGATATCCCTCAGTATATAATTCAAAAGTTAGGTTTAAATAGAGATCCAATAGCGGAGTTGCAACAAGAGTTGAAAGACTGCAATTGGTCGAGCAATTCTTCGCGGTCTTCTTTATGTATTTCAACGTCAACGCCAACGATTAAGAAGAATCTAAATAATCCAAATGAGCAAGATTTTGAGGCAAGTTATACTTATTGTATCCTATATTGTTCTGCTAGTACGGATATTTTAGGTAGTAAAGCTGATTTCAAATGGCGCATACGGCGCGGTTTATCTGGTAAAGCACAAGCAAACTAGACAAAGATTTGCAATGAAAAAAATTAACAAAAACAACCTGATGTTGAGAAATCAGGTGGAGCAAGTATTTGCCGAAAGAGACATACTGAGTTTTGCAGACAATCCTTTTGTAGTTAGCATGTATTGTAGCTTTGAAACGAAAAAACACTTATGTCTCGTGATGGAGTATGTAGAAGGTGGTGATTGTGCTAGTTTGATAAAAAACATAGGCCCCTTACCACCTGATATGGCTCGGTTCTACTTTGCCGAAACTGTTCTTGCTGTAGAATATCTTCACTCGTATGGAATAGTCCACAGGGACTTAAAACCTGACAAGTGAGCATACCGTTCTAAATGTATTTACCCGCAGTTATATATTTGGCTATTTCAGTCTCTTGATTACTGCTTTGGGGCACATTAAGCTGACGGATTTTGGTTTAAGCAAAATGGGCTTAATGTCATGTAAGTTTAAAAAATTTTGTTTTTGCTTCGTAATTTCCTATATTTTCTTTTTAGTGGCCACTAACCTTTACGAAGGATATATAGATACCGAAGCCCATCAGTTTTCTGATAAGCAGGTGTTCGGAACACCTGAATATATCGCTCCTGAAGTTATTTTAAGGCAGGGCTACGGCAAGCCGGTGGATTGGTGGTCTATGGGTATAATCCTATACGAATTTCTCGTTGGTTGTGTGCCATTTTTCGGCGAAACTCCTGAAGAATTATTTGCCCATACTGTTCAGGGTAAGAGTTTTAAAGCTGATTTAAAACAGTTTTATATGTTGTTTTATTTGCGTAATTTCAGATGATATTGAATGGCCAACTAATGAAGACTGGTCAATTCAAGAAGAAGCTAAAGATCTTATAACCGTTTTGTTGCAACATTCTCCGAGAGACAGATTGGGAAGTGGTGGCGCACATGAAGTAAAAGATCATGTGTATTTTCAGGGTCTAGATTGGAATTCTTTATTAAGACAGAAGGCCGAGTTTGTTCCGCAGCTTGAGCATGATGAAGATACCAGCTATTTTGACAGTATGTTTCCGATGCGGAGTTTTTTTGATTCATGAAAGTCAATTAAACTGCGGAATTATTTAGGTCGCATGGACAGATACAGTCATGAAATTGAAGATGATACCGACGACACCGACGACTCTCCGGTATTCGGCCTCTTTTCATCTTGTTCCCCGCAGTATCGTAAAACTCACGGATCTAAGTTGAGTTTGACGTCAGACTGCAGTAGTATTAAGTCCAGTTCTCTTGCAAGTACTGAAGTTATTACACCTGAAGTGTCCAGAAATGAACCGAAATTGAAACCAAAATCTGCTATTAGTCTGCTTCCGACATCACAAGACCTCTCGCTTCACAAGCCAACAGACTCTAAAAAGGTAATGAACACAAACTTTGCAAAACACTGTTTCAAATATTTTCAATTACTACGTTTGCACTTGGTAATTCAAACGGCTTACTTGAAAATATTTATAGATCTCTTTAGACCTTTCACTCTGCACAATCACGACTCCAGAATCATCACAGACAGATAGTGACGATGTTTCTCCTCAGATTTATAGAAGAAGGAAAGCTGGTCATGGACGTGATATATTGCCAAAGTTTTCAATTTCTGTGGAAGATGAACATAGTGGGTTAGATCCTGGGACATCTTCCTCCGAAAATAGAGAATTATCTCCATTGAGAAAGGTGCAACTACCAAATCCGCAACCCGTAAAGCATAAATCTCGATCCGTTGTTAAGAGCGCTTCGGCTTCTGGTTTGTCACTGATGATTCCATCCGGTGAGTGGATTGCAATTGCCATTCCAGACTACTGCAACTAACTGTTTTATGCTTCTCCTGTTTCAGACGAATTTCAAACTCCTCCTTGCAATGTAGCTTCTCCAAGCGGAGGAGGTTCTAGTACAGCTAGTTCCAGAGATACTTCTCCGTGTCGGGAGCTGTCTCCTCTGGTGACCAGCTTGAAACCGCCTATCATCATTCGCAGAGGTCCCAAAGGCTTTGGATTTACCGTCCACACCATTCGAGTGTATTATGGAGACACTGATGTATATACAATGCACCATTTAGTGATGGTACGAGTTCTACTTGGGAGCGATTGAATTTACTGTAAAAAAAAATTCATAGGCGGTGGATGAAGGTAGCCCTGCTTTTGAAGCTGGACTTAGACCAGCAGACCTTATCACGCATATAAATGGGGAAGCTGTTCAAGGGCTTTATCATACGCAAGTGCTCCAGCTGCTCTTGGGCGGGGCGGAGCATGTGAGTCTACGGGCCACACCGCTCGAACAAACATCTATAAAAACGGGAGGTCGAAAGCGTGAGCCTGGACAAAGCAAATTAGCTAAACGAAGCTTGAACCGACAAAAAAAGCAGAAGAGAGACAGCGATAAGCGAAGGAAAACCTCACTCTTCAGGAGGATTAGTTCAAAACGCGCTAGCGTTGAAATGCAACAGGTTTGTCGTAGGTTAAGGTACTTGATATTGATTATGTATGGATGCTGCACGGTAAGTAATCTATGGTTATTTATGCAACATAAATTAGCACTTATTTCCCATATATCTATGTTTCTTCATATATTTGCTATTTTACTTAGGCAGGTGGGAATTTTTGCCTGATACACATCTTTCCTTTAGATTGCGGCAAATATTCAGTCGCCTGTAAGCGTAACACCAAGTAGGAGCTTTCAATCTTTCCCCCGAAGTGATAGCAGTTTATCTACCTCCACTGTCAGGAGCGTGGCGGGTAATCGATCTAGTCTCTCTCCATCCGATTCCTTCAGCCAACATTCTGGAAACTCTACTCCTGTCTCCACCTCCTCCGGCACCCCATCTCCAACCTCCGGGCCGAATGGACGAGGCAATAAACAACACTATCAGAGGCCTTCGACGTTACATGGTTTGAAACACAAACTTCATTCTACTGGTTGTTCAAAGACGCTTCATTCTTCTGGACCGTCTTGTCCATCGGCTGTGCCCAATAGAAGAAAGTCTGTTGGACACATTCCACTTTCGCCGTTAGCGCGGACTCCCTCTCCTTCCCCTTTACCGGCGTCTCCAACAAGGTCTCCAAGCCCATTAGCATTTCCCATTGGCCATCAACCTGGTAAGAATCAAGAGAGTCTATAAATGAGTGGTGTTGGAATGTATGCACGGTTTTCTTTATTTCAGCATTTAGTGGATGCATTGTGCTTGAGCATGTTGTGGGATTTAACAATTATTAACTGTTCTCGAGCTGGCCTGTATACATGTTTGGGGTGTGTCAAATGTTCTAACAGGAAAATTTGGTTTCGGGTTATTTGAGTTCAGAAATCTGTCCTTGGTTGCATTTCAGAGCACTGATGTATGTATTTTCACCATTTTTATAGTTGGGTATAGTCTTTGGGTTTCGCACTTCTTTGCTGTATGCTCTAATAACCCTGCCTTCTAATAAATCTAATTGTATATACTTTCCTGACTATGTTTCGGCATCGGCATATGCAAATTTGCATGTTTTCTATTATTGCTACTATTTTCATCGTTATGCTCTGTTCGCTTACAGGGAGTTCGAACACCACTCAGTCTTACAGCCCAAGCGCTGGCTCTGCTCCCATTACAGTTACGGCCCAATGCAAGAAATCGTTTGCGCGCCCCAAAGGTGCTGAGTCCGGAGTTCCCCTTCTTAGACGTGCCCTGTCGCCGGATCGTTTGCATCCGCGAAGCGCTGAAACAAAATGCTCTATTTCTCCCCTATGTTCTTCAGGAAACGTCACTCCGGCTGTAAAGTCTCAAGCTCGGTCTGGAAGCTCGTCGGTTTGGCGCCCAAGCACCAACGTTGATAAGGAGAAGGAAGGAGACTGTGAAATTCAACAATCCAACGACCCTGGTATGTACAATTTTAACTTTACATTTAACAATCACCTACGCGTTTTACTGAAAACTATGTCAGCTCAGTTTTTTTGCCTGGTATTTTAAATATTTGTATGTTGCAACTGATCTGAGTAACTAAAACACATCAATGGTGAAAATGGATCGCAACCTCCGGATTTATACAAAGTCGGCCGCGAATTGGATTTTAAAGCTTGTAAAAAACTCGTTTTGTTTTTAAAGAAAAAATACACTCTGTATACTGATCTGTTATCTGCCCGTCTCATTTTTCCGTTTAACACTGTGCCAATTTATATCGATTCAGGCCCTTCAACGTCCGAGAACAGACTATCTTTGACTTTAGCAGGACCGGGAGAATTTCTACCACGAATAGCTGAAGAGAAAGACTCTCCGACCGGAGGCCAGGATGCCAAGGATAAATCTCAAGAACTCAAAGATAATTCAGTCTCAAATGTAGTCAATAAAACAGAAAATTCAAATGCATCTGATGTTAAAGATGAAAATAGGAAGTTTCAGCAAGGAGAAAAGGACGTATCAGAAAAGACCGTGAGTCATTTGATTCAAGTACACAAAGAGAAAATCAATTTGGAACAACAGAATTCTGAGATTACCGATTCGAATTTGGAAAAATGCGAAATACCATCTGTTGCAGTAGGTGGATCTCAAAAGACTGAAAGTTCTAAATCGACTGACTCTAACGCGCAGTATAAGAAAGATTTGTCAAAAACACAAATAAAGGCAGATCAACATGTTGATAAGAAAGATAAGGTTTTCCAAGCGACAACCAGCAAAAGGGATCAAGACAGCTTAATTAGAAGTCAACTGAAAGAAAAAGCGGAAAAGTTGCAAAATGAACTTCAATTTCCAAAGCAAACTAAATCTGAAGTGAAGTTAAAAGAAAAACCCCCTAAATCAGATGAAAGGGATAGTAAAAATAGTAAAACCTCAAAGAAATAGATGTAAGTAACATGTCTGGTTGTCTGTTGTTTGTTGATTAGACACAGTTCTTTCTGTATTGCTGAAACTCCTGCTAATTTGCTAAGAATAATTTTACCGCAAATTTTTTTTCGCTTTATTAAGAGACTGAATATTCAATCTTCTGTTTTTACTGTATGTGGTACTGCCTCCGGCTTCAGCTTTTTGCTTATTTTTCTGGAAGGTTTGTTGTTCGTTTACAAAGTGCTCCGGTCTACGAAGTTTTTAACGTTGTTTACTTGTTACTTAGAATAATTGGCTGCTCAATGAATTTTTGAAAAGTTAATGTATACATTTGTTTAGTTTGTTTTAAATACTCCACGTGAAACATGTTTATTATATACATAATTCTGATGTGATGTTAGATGTAATATTTCTTAAATGTTAAGCGTCTCTTTCACTTTAAGAAAAGGCTGTTTTACCAATTTTTAGTGTTCTTAACTATCTAATTGATCAGTTGTAGTTTTAAATTCGTTTTTCTAATCTGAAGTTACCTTTATTCGAGGTACTTTTAAGTACTTTATACTTTACCTGAATAATTCGATCTCGTAACTAAACCTTTTCAATGTAATATAGTCATTTTCTTTTATTCCCGTTTCTGTTAAAACGTATTTTAAATTCTAGCAGTGTATCTTACTGAGAGTTAGAACCATATACAGAACTCTAGAATTTTCAATCACTCGACCCTGCATCCAGACACCCTTTTTAGTCATTCATATGAGAGGTAAACTGCTTGCAAATGCTAACAAGCAATTTTACCTATCTAAACTAGCTCAGAGTGTGTGTGTATGTCTCTAAATGGCGAAACGTTCATTGCTGAAGTTTTGGCATAGACTTGATCTTGGAAATATTATCAGTATTTCCAAATGAAAATTATTTGTAATATTTCGAATGAAAATAGTCTTTACACTTTAGATACAAATACTTCTACTCGTGACATCTGGATTTTTAGAAATATTTGCAGGGCTAAAAGTTGGGTCAACAGTTAAACAGTTTTTTTAAAGGGTTCTGGAAGTGACATCCATGCTTACAAATACTTCGAAGTTTTTAGAACTGTGGTCGAGGGCTCACCAAACTAATAACGCACAGTTTCATCTTTACATATGTTAACAATAAAACTACTTTCCTATTACTAAGGCTTTTTGCTTATGCATTGAAGATTACAATATTATGTGAAATATTTTTCTGCCGTTTTACTGGGCAATGTATTGAAAGCTTATTAGTTTGGGGGTGTATTTGGCCTGTATTCCAAGGTTGTAACTAATAAGAATCTCCAAGCTTCTTAAATCAATTTGATTAATATTCCCACGAATTGGTTTGGCTAAATCTGTTTGCATGATGTCCTAGGAAAACTTCCCATACTATAATCGTAATATCGAACGTACTAAGGATAGGTTGTACATTTTTATGGTACCATTATTTATTTTTGCTGCTGAAAAAGGTGTTGTATACTTTAGTTATATGCGTTGTTTGTTTGTAAAATCCGATCTTTTCAATTCCAAAATAGTTACTTCATTTGACTGTATTTTTGAAACGACGGAAATCCAGTGTTCCACTAATTAACTTTAACTTTGTGGTTGGTAACACCGTGGTAGATTTTTGGGTTGGCCTTTTAACGATGATTTGACTATCTTATGTAAGATACACTTGATAAGCACGTTTACTTTTTTGTGTACTTAATACACTGTAACTCTAAGTTATAACTAAAAATGTGATTCTGATATTTTGTAACTTAATGTTATAATGCGTTATATCAAATAATATATTATTTGAGTATATGCCAGGAGTTTTTGTTCGTATTATCCCCAAAGTTTGGAAAATAGTTAGACTTAGCAGGTTTCTTTCGAAACCGACTTGTGCTTGCCGAAATGCCAAAAACAAATTGGCGAAAAACTCACCAGTTATTCCCAAAGTTGCTTCAGTCCGCGAAAAAGGTAAGTATTGGTATGTGCCCGAACAATACTTTCGACTTCCTCAATTAGTATTAGAAGGTTTCAAGTTGGCAAATTAAGAACCTCATTGTTAATTCGGATAATGCCAAGACTTCGCTAACATAATAGAAAGGAATTAGCAATAAAACGATTTCGTAGAAATATAAATAAAGCCTTTATATCGGTAATATCGTAATAGTATAGCACAGTTTTTGCGGCGGTTCTCGGTTATATATTCGATAAAGGTAAAAAATTGGGTGTATACGTGATCGTGCAAAGTTAATCAATCGATTATTAAAAAATTATCACATTTCATTGCTAAAAATAATAAATATGCACGTTTTTGAAACAGAATCGTTAAATTCAACTGCGGAGATCGGATTTAAAAAAATGAGAGAAGCACTTTGCATCGGACAATGCGAAACTAGGGCATATAGTTATTGCAAAAATGCATTTTGTGCTCAAGTAAGTGTGCTTTTTACTACGCCGGCCATAAAAAGTATAACATGATTACAATACGTGTCTCATAATATATTTGTTGCACTCTCGAAATAATAATTTTTACGGTTAGATATAGGAACGTTTTAAAGAAAATATTTAGTACTTTACACTGTTAATGTTGAAAATCGTACCAGCACTGTGACGAATTGGCTAAATACCACTGCCTTAATGGAATCTTTGAAAATGATTAAGAATTAGGGTTGCGGTTGAAATTCTATATATTTTTAAGTAATGCGACCACCAGAAAACAGTAGAAATTTGCTAATGACCATATGGAAAAAGCATTGTACTTAATATGAACAGCAGGAAGTTTTTGCCAATTGTTTAAAAATAATTTTTCCAATTCATTTCTTTCAGCTCATGTGCATCAAATTCGCATAACTTAGGCGGAACGCATAGCAAATCGAAATGATTTTCGTTGGTCAATTTAGCATTAAACAGATAATTTTTTAAATTAGCGTGCCTCGATGCCTACGGTTAATCGATTATTTTTTTAGCGTATACGCGTAAACAACTCGAATATCATTCGAATACGTTATTATGGAATCTCAGGTCAATATAAAAAATATAAATTTTGAAAATCATCTCAGTTGCTTTATTAATACATACAACTAAGAGACATTTTATTGATATTTTTACATGGATTTTTTGTATTAAAGTAAGTTATTAATTTGGCAATAAGCAGTTAAAATCGTATAAGGTCAAAGAGACCATCAACTTGTGTATGAGTCAAATATTATTTCGATTAGTAATTCATTTTTCAATAGTGGGATTTTCGGTCAGCGGATGGTGGCAAAATTGAATGTGGCGACTTGAATAAAGTCGAAACGTTGGCCCATGAAAAAGTTGTGTTTTATTTTGAAAAATTAATTACTGATTATCATCACGATCACTAATCAACCACAACATTATTTCGATGATTGTATTATACAGATAATTTTGAAAATCTCTAATTCACAAAACGCTAACTTAGAATGCGTTCACTAAACTACGCTAAAAAAACTAAAAGCGTTGTGAAAATAGAGGTAGCTTGGGGCAAAATGGGTCGGTACTAGACATTTTCGCTTTGTCGGTTGAATAATTTATTTGGAAAAAAATGGCCAGAAAACAAACACTTTTGTCTGCTAGTCAAATTTTTCAAAACTCATTTTTGGAGGTGCTTTTCACAATGTAGTTTTTTTCTGGAAACCGAAACTTCCCATTGAAAAAAAGTGTTTATTATGAAATGACTGCTCTAAACGAAATATACTTTCAAGATTTCTAAATTAGCGGTTTTTGACTAAATACTTCACTAAAAAAAAAAAAAAAAATCTGAGATGTGAAACCGATCGTGAATATGAAAAATTAACAGTGAAAAAAAAAGAGCTATAAGGCCAAAGACACCAATTTGCGTATGAGAGAATTATTATTATTTTACAGTTATAAATACATATGCAAAAAGTTGATCTAAACAAGTCAACAGACCTTCAGTGTCCTAGAAAATGCCTAATTCGCAAAACACGGACTTTGAATGCGCTAACTAATCTACGCGAAAAAACTAAACGTTTTTGCGAAAATAGGGGTAACTCAGGCAAAATAGATCGGTACCAGACATTTTCGCATAACATTTTCTGTCTTCGAGCCATTAAACAATTTTTAATTCATTTTTGGGCGATGTTGATGCTTTTCACATTCACAATTTTTTTTTTCGAAACAAAGCAACGAAAATTCCTGTTAGTTTTTTAATTATTCCTAAATTTTTCAGTAAAGAAATAAATTTCAGGTCTGAAAACGACCTGAGAGTGCTTGTTTTTCACACAGCTAAGACATATTCCTGTTTCAAGAAAAATGATGCTGTAAAATAAAAAAACTTCCATTCCATCAAAAGAAAGAAGAGCAAAATTCTTCAAAGAAAACTATTAAAAAAAATCACCGTTCCAAGCATTTTCAAAGAGAGTTTTGCACCCTCCAAAACTCCAAAATTGTTCACTCCCAAAAAATCCCAAAAACGTCAGCTGGATTAGTGAAAACTTCTGCCCTTCTTAACAAGCTTTTTTCTATTAATTTTTTCAATATTTTTCATTTTTTTTTTCGAATTTCGAAATCTGTTCTCTAAGTTTGAAGACAAATATGCGCCGAACTATTTAATAGCGCTTGATATTCATTTTCAGACAAGAAAAAAACTTTTTTCAAAATTAGATAGTTGGCGCTTTTCCTAAAGAAATTAAGATCAGGCAGCAAAACTCCCTTTGTTTTCTTTAGTGTTTGATGCATAAATAACACTATTTTGGTTGAAAGTTAAAAAATGTAAAATGAGACATTTTGAAAAAAGTCGTTAACTTTAGCCCCATAAGATGCCCGTATATTGAACCTATGAATGAATCTGTTGCAAATAATCCTTTCTCTTATAAACTTATGCTATATAAATACTTACACGACATGAAATCGCGGCAGTTCGTTTCTTCTCCGTATTATTGTTCGCCCTGCCAAGATGCATATTGCACTTTCGCTAGGTAACTTTGTTTTTATCGGTAATTAAGTATTAATTTAAGAGTATGTGGATTGTGCATCCCCTTTTCAGGCTATCTAAGTGAATGTGTACATATTCGGAGAGTGCCATCAAGTGAATATTTTCATAGGATATATTTCCGTTAAATTTGGGTATTTCATTTCATATAAAAATCAATATAAATTGATACACAATATAACATTTTTTTTCTATTCTCAAATATATCTCAAGCGGCGTTTAGCAAAATGAAATAGGAACTAGTTGATCAACAAATTTAAATTCTCGCTCAAACTCATACAAAATTTATGTTTTTATATCAAGCCAATATTTACATCGATTATTTACTTCACTTTGAATTTGTTCCGATTTTTTCTGCATCTGGAAATTGACATTTCTCAACAAACACAAATAAGTGGAAAAATTAAATTCTTCCAACATTTTAATGGTGCAAGAAATTTTAATTTTCATGCTACAACTTTGTAATGCCGGACATTAATGAGAACTAATTTACAAGATCTAGTTTAGCAATCATAACAAGAACAATTTCAAGGATTACTGTAATTAAAAAGGCCAACTTGCGATTAGGCTGATTTTTAAAATTGGCGAAATTCTCTAAAAAGAGAAAATATGCCCTAGTTTACATTTATTAATAATATGTTGTCGAATAGCGATTTTACCGTCTAAATTTTCTAAAAACACTAATTAGTTTCCTTCACTGTCCATTCGAAGCCCTTTTATGATTTTTTCCAAATTCTATATACGTTATATAATTAAACCGTTGATGATTTTTCAGGCAGTGACCACAGCGCTCTGGTTAGTTAATTTAATGTCGTTATGGTTAGGGTTAGTAAAGTAAAAAAAATAGTTTTTTTCAACCGTTATATGGACGACAAGCGGATATTAGAAAATTGTCAGCAAAACAGTAACTCCTTATAAAGCGCTCAAGTGAAAGAGTTAAAACGCCATCGATGAGACAGTTTTATCCTGAATAAACCCAAAGATAAATTATATCTTTATTAGGAAACTATTAAGCACTACATTGGCGCTTAAACTGTTACAAGCTGCACGTTCAAACGTTACGTTAATTTAAACTTCGCATTTTTATTTGTCGAAGATTAATGTAGCTGGGCATTCTAAAACCATTCTAAGCATAATTTGAAATGCAAAATATTAAACCTTTTTCTTAACATCGATATCATCTGGTAATCAACAGAACTGTAGAGCGCAATAGTTAACTTTCGAACAGTTGCACAATTTCGAGATAATTGCTAAAAAAAATAAAAACAGCCTCATTAGCTGGAGTCCAGAACGGATCTATAAATATCATTTTAAATTGCCATAGACAGTATAGTACATTTATTAATAGTAATTTGATAATGACATCGGATAATGCATAATTACGACACGGTATAGAAGGCTACGCATGCATGAATGATAAATCTGGTTTACGGTCGAATTTCCTTCAATTAACATTTAAAATACAAAGAGATCATTTAATGATTATCCAATTGATGGATTTCTAACATTCCGATCGATGTTCAAGGAGGAAACAATTTTATGTCATAATTTTAATCAGAGTTATTGATCGCAATGCCATCATAATTATACTGTCTTGGCTTCGTTTTAACTAAAATTATGTCTGATTCTTTTGAGAAGCTGTTGTTTTTACAAAGGGGAATTTAAAAAATCATCAGGACTCGGATAAAGGAAGCTGAATATAAGAGGAGAACCCTGGATAAGAGGCACTCTCAACATTGAACAAAAAACCCGTTTCGGACCAATAAGTTCTCATCAGCTGAACTTACCATGTCATTTGCAAGCTATGAAGAATCATGTTAAAAAAAACGTTTGTCCAGAAGGTGTCTCCAGAAACTAGAGAATATTGTTTAATACTCAATTTATCCATTTGCTTTCGGCCTCATATACAGGGCGTTTAAATATCAGGTTGCTAATAAAATGCCTTTTTCCTTTAACAGCAACAATTTTTTTGGACATTATTTATATTTTTTCTTAATTCTAGTTGGTTTCACATTTCTTGCGGTGCAGTGTCACTCTCGAGCATCTGGAGAGATTGATAGGCAATATCCAATAGAAACAGTGTTGTACCAATATACCGATCGACGCAATATTGGACAGGGAAATTTACTGCATCGGGTACCAAGGTAAGTAGAGCAATGGGTGAGTGGGATTTAGATAGTAAAATATAGACGTTTCAATGTAGAAGATTTACTGATAAATCGTGTATCTGGTTGATGTATAGATAACTGTTCGCAAAAAAGCGTTTCCATTGATCAACTATTGAAACATACAGCTCAGTAGAGCTGCAAAAAACCTGTGCTAAATAATCGCGGGATGTGTTCCGGTAAATCTTGTGCAGAAGACGTTTATAATCGAATCGCAAGGTGTTCTCAAGCGAAACACTTATGCACTCTTAAATTGGCACAATTTCCACACTAACATCCGTTTTCTCTGTTAGTTCTTGTCGCCATCAATGGCTCTTTACTAAGCAAATAGACCTGGTAAGACCGGTTTACTTCAGGTATAGGAAAAGCGAGAAACACAAAACGGCTGCAATTTTACATGCAAATTCAAACATCTTGTGTCTTACAGACGTTTGGAAAAATGCTTTCTGAAAGAAAGAAAATATTAGGAACAATCATCGATAGTTTTGGTAGTGATTTAACCGAGTACAGGTATTCCATAAATATACCCACACATTTTTAGGCATGATAGAAGACTTAATTATCTACTCTTGCTATTTTTTGTAATTTACAAACTCGTTTTAGATCGTTGCTCTACCAAAAATGGCAACATTTTGAACAAACATCTTAAAGCAAGTATCATTTTTTGGCTGAAAAACATCGGAAGGGTCGACTACCTAATTATTTTCGCTGGAAAACAAAGCCTTGCACAGAACATTTTCAAGTGATGAGCACGTTTTTTAACTGCTCTATCTAAGAAATAAAGCGGCGTGTTTTGTGCAAATTTCACCACCCTGAATCTTAAAAATGCTTTGTTTTGGGTTTTAGAGTTTCCTCTACACCCGTCAAAATTTGCCAGCATATTTATGAAACACTCTGTGATATGAGTGGGGATTATTATTAGAAAACATCAGCCTTCCAGGGAGAAACTTGAACGTGAAAACGCCATTAAATAAGTTTCCCAATATAAAGGAATGAAATTAATATTGGATAAAATCCTGAATTTTCCGCTCTGCGTACTTAGTCGCGGAAATATTCATGTTTATTCAAAATGATTCTGTTGTCTGAAAATCTGTAAGCGGAACAGGGCAGATTGCCGAATACGTAAGAAAAACTAGAGAGACACGCGATACTTTGCCCAAACTTTTACTTATTTCTTCGCTTTCTACTACGCGCAGTTATGGATCTGCCTTGTTCCAGTGAAATATTTATTGACTGCAAAACATTGCTTTTAATTAAATGAATAGAAAACGATTTATTAAAAACGCTGAAGGAGTAAATCACTTTTAAAATTGCGAATATTTGCAATATTTTTCTGGACTTTCTCATGGTTTGATTCGCAATTTTCGAAATGCTTGATAATGCACTGAGCCAAACGTTATTACAACTGTTCAAAAACAAAAAATTAACATTGCAGCTCTTGACACTAATTTCCAGGACTTAAATAAGACAATATTAATTTCTAAACAGTAAAAAACCGTCCGTATTTTCAATTTGCTAATCATTTTTGGCAACCGACAGTAATTAATTGCTTGGTTGAAACCCAAGGGTTTTGTTAAACCGACATGCTTGATTATATAGTGGGTGAAAAAAAACTTTAGGTTTCCAGGTAGCCGAAATGCCACCAAAACCGCTGAATATATTGGTTTTGTTTTATTTAAACTGTATTTCTTCATTAATAGCCAATCAACTAGCAATGAACATATTAATCGATTAAACGCCGTTTGAACTATTTTTCGTTGCATTTCGGATATGTTGGAAATGTATTTGACAAATTATTTAGGCACATTCCATGAAATCCAATCCATGTTTATATTTTCTTCTTGCGTGCTGTACAATATGTAACATTTTTGTATTGAGCGAACAAAACTGTTTTGTTTTAATGAGCAATAATAACTTTCCTAGTTAATATTCGTAATTATTTATAATTATTCTGTACTAAATTGCAAACTATCATTCAGCGGCCTGCTAAGTTTCCTGACCTTAACCCGCTTGAGTTTTATGTATGGGCTTATTCTAAACAATTAAATTATATGGCACGATAATTGTAGCATTGAATAATATAAATTAAGAGTAGCATGTATGGTATTAGTGAGGGTAAAATGCTAATGGCCTAAAAGAGTTGTTGAAGTTTATATAGGCGGGCAGCTGGGGCTATTTAAGTGTTTTTTTGTATTAGTACTATTGATTTGTTTTTATTTATTTTCCTTTCAATTTTAACAACGGGTCCACTTGGCTAAAGCATTCGCTAATTTTTCGTATTATTGTTCAGTATCATTAAGTATCGGTTTCCGCTGGAATTTCACATAGAAGGTTTGCTATTCTCAAAAATATTTCTCTAATCTCAGACACCCTCCAGGACCGGTTTCGAGCATATTAGCTCTCACCAGGCGGGTGTAGCCTAAAAATAACACTCCCTAAACTTACGCTTTTGCAAGCAAGTGCAGGTTTCGGTAGTGTTATTTTCAGGCTACACCCGCCTGGTGAGAGCTAATATGCTCGAAACCGGTCCTGGAGGGKGTCTGAGATTAGCTCTTCGCAAAACCTGTACTTACTCACATCAGAAAGTTTAATTGTTCTTCATTTTACTTCGGTATGGAGGTCGATTGTCATGAAAAATGATTTCAAACAATCTAATGTGTGGGATACAAGTCAACAAAAAACCAGCAAAATTCTAGATTTTGGTCTCAATACGACTAATTCGCATCTTCTAAAACAGTTTTGTAATAAGTTGGCTGCATATTAGGTAGGTTGTAACCCGCTTTAACGATGGGAAAATATTTAATTATGTAAATACTAAAACTACATGTTTGTCGATAGATGTAGTTCATCTTAAAACACATTTTCCCATCTGCATCGTATTAATCGATTCATTTTCGTTATGCCACAAGTTGTAACATTGATTGGCAAACTTAATAAGTAATTTTAAATAAGTTATAATACGCTGGTGATGTTTTATTTCCAAATGCGTCACGCTTTTTGTTAATAACTTATTCAATTATTTTATTAAATGCCACCCACACACTACATGAAATTGAATTTGGCAATTCGAATGTTCGATTTTGTGTTGCATGTTAGGTGGTTTTTATTTTTTCACTTTTTTGGTTAATTGTATTCTCTATTTTTCGTTTATGAATGGATCGTTCCCGGTTGATTTCCTAATTTGAAAGTGTCCGAATCGTTTTTCAGTTTTGCTCTTTCTTGGAAGACTTACGCTGACAATAATAATGAAATTTATGCAACTATTGTGTAAATGATCGCTGGATGGACAAGAAAAAAATCGTTTAACTCCTGGTCTTTCAATTAATAATAATTAAATAAATGGGTCTAATAAATTATAATTAATTTGTTTCAGGGCAGCGGATCTCAAGTACGAAACAGAAACGAACTATCCTCAAGAAACTAGACCCGAAGCGCCTCAAGGGTCGAAAAGACATGTTCTGCCCCGATCCGCTGAAGACAAAAAGCCAATTGTTGAACAATTCCTGAAGGAAGTCACCCCAACTACCAAAACGGCTTACGATCCAAGAAACCAGAAAGCTGAGTCTCAATTGTAAGTGATTTTTAAATTTCCATAGCAATCATGTGTAGTTAATAGGATATAATTGAAATGAACGTTTGGTTTTTGACTGCATCTATGGCACACATGTTAAAATATGTGTTTTTTCTGTATTACTAGAAAATTTTCTAATTTTTTTGTTCCAATCTGGCAAATGACGAGTTTTTCATTTTCTATTTATATTCATTTAAAAATGAGTAATGCGCCATTATAATGCAGTATTGCACAAGTAGTTTTTTGTCTAATTATCGCCTTCAGACCAACAGCAAAGAAATAAATTGCTGAACGATTTCTATCACGATATAAGAAAGGAAAAACAAATATAAGAAACACGTCGGTTGCTCTGGGTCAAGCAAAAAGACAGTCTGGTTCTCGCGAACCAAATTTCACCGTTTCTCTCCTAAAATACGTGGTTTAATTAAAAGAAACATACGTAAAAAGCATTGTGCTCGAAAATGAATGGGTTTGTTTTGTTTTATATTATCAATTAGTCACAAGACATGCATCAATAATTGTCTCGAATGTGGCGATTGTTCTCAGTTCATGTTATTTTGCGATTATTATGTAAGGTGCTGCCCTAGAATACACGCCGAAATATTTTATTATTTTTGCTGTGAAATATGCTAAATTTGCTGCGAAATGAAAGTCATGCCAGTATGATGGTAGAAAGTTTTTCGGGAACGCTAAAAACACAAAATTTACCAGCCTGATATATATCTCACTATTATGATGACAAATTCTCGATTTCAGTTTTTCTCAGCGTTTTTTTTCCAATTTTATAATCGTTTACGCTCACACGTTAGGTGTATTAATGAGGAGTTCCCAAGTATTCCAAAATAACTGTTCCTAAACTATCGAAGAAGTTAGACTTTTGCGACCATTGCTCGATACTGGTGAATCCTTAGGGTGTTCATTCGTCCTGAATAATAATGTCTTTCCAACGTTTCACAAGCACCTCATCAGAGGCCAAGTACACCATCAGAGGTGTTTTGCTGAACATTTTCAAAACTCCAAGAAACAGTTCTGAGGATGCAAGTCACTTGTGCTTGTAAAACGTCAGGAGTAAATAATTTTCCACCGCGGGGGAAAAACAGGAAAAACTCATCAGTTTATTCCTAAATTGTGAGTTATTTGGCGCTTTCCGTCATCAAAAATTATTCAGTTTTATTCTGATGACAAAAACAAACTAAATTTGTCTGCAGTAATATTTCATAGAGAGGAGCAATTAATGATTGCAATTTATCAAAAAACTTATAAACCGTTTTGCAATAATTACTGTCCCAACTATTTTAATGTTGTTGGTTTCGGTTTAACTACGAAAATTGGACTTTTGTCTTTTTCCGTTAGCAATAATAAACATCGCAGTTAAATTAATGTGCCTGCACAAAATAAGAACGAAATATTTCCTACAAAGCAACCAACGTGCCTAAATCATTTCGTAAAAATTTCAGCGGCTGAATTTGGAAAACAAACCTTCAAACAATTAACAAACAACAGAATATTCATAATTTCATTGTAATAATTGTTATTTATATATGGTGTTGCGAACAGCCCCAATAAATTGGAACAGTCGTGCACTTTTTTCAAACACTTCATTTCAAACGTGCATTACAAAATCGAACTTATTACAAAAACATGCGCCTGAAGGGAAGAAGGTGATTAGGTAAAAAAATTAAAAAAAAACGTGTAAAAATTATGGCTGTTACTAATGCACTAAGAAACATATGCAATACGAGACGTTCTGCTTCAATTAAATAAGAACGCTTCAAATTCACTTGCGTGTCATGTAATTATGCACGTGAATGTTTTTAACGTTTAGAAGTTCAACTCCAATTATTCTGCAATCGAACTAATTTCATTACATGCTTTCATAATAATGGTGTTTTACGGTTTGCTGAAATGAGCCGGCAATCGAAACTGTGACTTATATGTGAACAAGAAACGTAGATCGGGGAAAGGGTATTCGAAAATGACCTATGCTCTATTCGAACCGATTGCTGCAAGCAAGGACGTTACATTAGATACGTTAAATTTGCTTCAAAAGAACCTTTGAAAATTGCCCAAGAACATGGAAAAAACATTCATTAATCTTCACGTCGAAGTAAAGAACAGACGAAAACGTACCATTTAAATTCTTAGGAATGTAGTTTAACTTTGCAAACTATTAAATTATCTTCCGTTCGAGTCGTTTCCTAATCAACAAAATTAACATTTGCAAAAAACGAGTCCAAATAATAAACTCTGTAAACTTTAACCGATAATTACTAACACTCTAAGTATTGACGAGCTTCTTAGGTTGAAGAAACTAGAAAATTGAGGTCGAGAAACCCATATGTGAACGGTAGCTTTGGTCCGAAAATATCGAAAGGCGGGGATTTTACTACAATTTCTTTGAAAAACCTCAAATGTTACACCAATTTCAATACGAAAACGTACCATTTAAATTCTTAGGAATGTAGTTTAACTTTGCAAACTATTAAATTATCTTCCGTTCAAGTCGTTTCTTAATCAGCAAAATTGACATTTGCAAAAAACGAGTCCAAATAATAAACTCTGTAAACTTTAACCGATAATTACTAACACTCTAAGTATTGACGAGCTTCTTAGGTTGAAGAAGCTGGAAAATTGAGCTCGAGAAACCCACATGTGAACGGTAGCTTTTGTCCGAAAACATCGAAAGGCGGGGATTTTACTACAATTTCTTTGAAAAACCTCAAATGTTACACCATTTTCAATATAAGGAAGCGAAGTTCACAACGAGCAAAAAAACGAAAAACACCTTATAGCATTCTGATCTGAAATATCGCGGTTTTGAGCGGTAACCGACAATATTTCCCTAATTACAGACTCAAACATTCTATGGATGCAAAACAGTAACTCCTTAATAGAAGCTAAATTTGTTCTTTTGAAACGAGTACAACGATCGACGTAATCAGATTTGGTCATAAGTAAAATTTGTGATAAAACCAAGAATGAAACAAAAAATGTTATCAAAGGAACGCCGGGAAAAGAAGTACTCGCTTCGAAAGCAGTTACAAAGCTAATTACTGACTGAAATTTGTAAAAAATCACAAAACTGATGAACCAACAGCCGAAAAAATCAGGAAAATTCAAAATCAGGCTACCTTCTATGGCTTCAATAAAATGTATATCATTACTCATTTTAAAAATCACTTCGGAAACTCAACGTGTGAATGTGAGTCCACTGATTCCTTCCTAAGACCGAATACTCTAAAAAACTGAATGGCAACCAACATTAATTTGGGTACTTTCGTTTTAATTTTATTCTATTATATATTAACAAAAAGATTTAAAAAATTGCGCGATAAATATCAAATCCATTATCAAGCAGAAGAGTTGAAAATTGTAAAATAATTGCCTTCCTGATTGTCACCCAATTTAAAATTGTTCAAAACTACCGGATCCTCTGATTTATAACGCAAGTTTCGGTTTCTAAACCACCATCAAATAAAAAGTGCCTGCATGAAATTCGACACCAGATGATGTAGATCTAATACGAAACTTGCGTTCTCAAGCAATCAACATTAATTAGTTTTTCTTTGACAATAAAGTTCAGAAATATCAAGCAATTTTTAACCAACAGGCAGTAATAAACCTAAATTTCTCGTGCTCGGACATCGCAGAAGTTGCTAGAAAGCAACAAAACTACCTAAGGCTACCAAAAAAATCCTAAATATTTTTGTAAGATTTATACGAAAAATCTTGATCCGATGATGGTTATTTGTTAAGTTAAATAATATAAATATAGTTAAAAAAGGCAGAAATCCAAGAATTTCGAACAATTTTACAAACTATTTAATTCTATATTCAATTGCAGAGCACAGAGAAAACATACAGTTGGGGACAAAAAAGTGCATTTGGTATTTTTTCTGAAATACACACTTTTGCTTAAAAATATGAAAACTGTTGGATTGTCAGAGCAAATTAACGCAATAATAAGCATTTGATATTTTTCAGACAGAAAAACGGTGCACGCCAACGGATTTTCTGCAAACAAAAATTATCTTCTGTGTTTTTGCTTAAATGCCTAAGTTTTGATTTAAAAAAAATGTGTTGGGTTACATTGGGTTTTTTCGCTTCAACTTAAGCTTAAGTTTCTGCTTAAAAACTTCAAGTTTCCAACTTCATCGATTTTTCCAGATATCACCAATGGGTCCAAGAAACGCACAAACAGCCGCCTATAGCTCAAAACATTTTGGCCTACCAAAACGCATTGATAGCACGCCAAAATGCCATTTACGAAAAGCAAAGAGCTGACCAATTGCAGAAACAGGTAGCGACTCTGCCCCACGCTGGAGTGTATTTGTCTCACTATCCACAGAACACCGAGTCGAATCAAAAGTTTGGCAAGTTAAAAACCATTCCGAATGATGAGGTGCAGTATTATGCAAATCTTCCGTATGAGAGGGAGTTCAAAAAGTCCAAGGATCAGTTGAAAGTGAAACAACCAGCGTATAAAACCGTGAATTTGCATAAAACTGCTCCGGAGGCTAAAGTGGAAAATATCAATGCACCTGAAGAAGTTTATTATAGCGATGTGAAGTTCAAGCACGAGTATAATAATGATAATAATAATAATAAAAATGTGTACGCGCCTCCCAAGCAGCCGTACATTAAAATAGAACACGTCCAAAGTCATGCTCCGGCTCAAAAAACTGCTGGAGAAGACTATGCCAAATACGAACAGGGATTCAACAACAGGAACAGTAAACTGGAAAAAACCGTACCATATGGAAAACAGGAAATTATCCAGAAAATTACTGCAACGCCCAAGACTCCAGATGTAATTTACTACAGCGACGTTAAGTTTGAGCACGATTATAATAATAAAAACGATGACTACGAGACAAAACAGCCCTACGTTAACATACAGACCGGCGTCCAGCCAAAAGCAGACAGTCCCAAATCTGGTGCTCCAGACGTGGTTTATTACAGTGACATCAAGTTTGAGCATGCATATGACGACAATGAAAAGCCTGACTACGGGGCTCAACCATATATAAAGGCTGACGGCAAACAGAAGGACAAAAAAGGGAAATCAGGCAATGCTGAACATGATTTAGTCTACTACACCGACATTGAGTATGAACATGAATATAACGACCAGAAGGACGACTACAAACCGCCAAATATTAAAACGAAACACTCGCACAAGACATCGACATTGCACAAAACAGACAACTCTCGACCGACGTCGCCTCAACATCAATACTACAGCGACCCGTACGATCACGAATTTGACAAAAACAAAGACGATTTTGGGCCTAGTCAAGGCTACGTTATTACAAAAACTACCCCTAAAACTATTACAACCCAGAAACTACAAAAAACTAAAACGACTTCGAATCCTGATCATGCTTTGGATCATTTTGCCGATGCAGAATATGACTATGAGTACAACAAACATCGAGCCCAGATCGAAAACGATGAACCATACGTAGACACCCATTATGGAGACATTGAATACGAATACAACAAGCAAAGAGCGGAAATTGAGGCTGAACACCCATACATCAAATCGCATCACTCTGAGATTGATTACGACTACAACAAGCAGAAGGATGACATCGAAGCCCTACACCCATACGGAAAACCGCTAACCAATCGCAAGGTGATACTGGGAGACAAACCGAGAAAGTCTAAACCTTATCATCCAGCGGAAGATTTAGCGGCTCGCTACGCCGACTTTGAGTATGAGTATGAGTTGACAAAGAAACGAGCAGAATTTGCCGAAGAACCATACTCAGATACAGAATACGATGACGACAAAGACGAAAAAAACCCCTCCGTAAACAACAACAACCTCGTCTACAGAACAAAAACGCAATATGAGGATGGTCATCATATAAATAGAGAACCGGACACCCAAAAACCAGCAGCTCCCAAGTTTCAGGCCAGAATTATTCAAAACTCCCAACCAGAAATTATACTACTGTCCAAAGACGCTCCTAGCGGTTTGAATCAACCAGAACTTCACAGCATTCCTCATTCCGCTGGTAATTTATCAATACCTTCGCACATAAAGGTCACAATACTTCTCTTTTACAGGCAGAGCAAAGCGGCCGAAAGACAAAGTATTCGTTTCAGATGTAACCTATCAGAAGAATGCGGTTTATCAACCAGACCAACCGAAACCCGAATCTGAGTACTACGCTGATCCTCAATTCATTCAATATCAAGTTCAACCTGCTGGATCGATTGCGTATTTGTCTAATCAAAAAGGAGCAGATTATCAACAGACTCAACCAAGTGGCACTCCGCAGGCACAAGGGCTGAGCCAGTATCAGTCCGGTACCACTAGTAAACCCAATAACCACTCTAGGCAAAGAGTGCAGTACCTTTTGGTTCCTGAAGTAGCAAAACCAGCTCAAAGGCAAGTAAAATATGATGA